GGGGGATAAGGATGATACCAGTAGACGTCGGATAGGAAAGAAAGAGCAAACCATACCAGAGCACCCGCCAACCACCCACAGCCTCGCGACCTTGAAATATAGCCTCCGGCTCGCATGAGTAAACAGGAAGATGTTTTGTCTTTCTCTCTTTTTTTTTGTTTGTTGTTCTTGTGAGAGTTTTTGTTTTTGTTTTAGTAAGAGTTTTACGACACTTGCAACACAATGAAGTCATATAAGTGCCGAGGATTAGAGGTGTTACAAGAGAGTAACAATAAACACAAAAAAGAAGGAGGATAGATCAGGACGATAGATGTTTGACAGGAAAGAAAAAGCAAACCACACCAGAGCACCCACCAACCACCCACAGTGAGAATTATAATACATCACTTTCAACACAAAAAAGAACGCAATATGAGTGTTAAAGATTAGAGATCTTACTGGAGCGTAAAATGCACAGAAAAGGAAGAGGAAGGATTTTTTAAATTTTATAAAAGAGGGTTTTACGGCGCTCACAACTGCATAAGGTCATATGAGCGCCAAGGGGTGGGTGTCAACAGAGAAGCCCTTACAGGGAATCAGACTTATTCTGCTCACCTCTCTAACTTCAACAGCACAAGGTCTGCTAGAGGAAGGATATGGACGCATGATAGATGATTGATTAGGAAAGCGAAGGAGCGAACCATCTAAGAGCACCCGCCTACCACCCACTTCTCAACACAAAAATGTCCCACGAGTGCCAAAGAGAAGAGCTGGTGTCACTACCAGAGACTAACATACAAAGTAGAGGAGGAGGAGAGATTGTAAGAACGATAGGTGATTGATTGGAAGCGAAGAGGAGCAAACAAGGAGCTTAAACAAAATCTCCCTGGGAGCAAACCGTACCAGGGCACCTGTAAAAACGTTGTTACCACTATGTCTTTTGTTTTGATTGTATTTTCACTACATAAAGGTCATTCAAGTGCCGAAGATTGGAGGTGATACTACTCGTATTAAAGCAACATGCAACGCAAAAAAACAAAAAAAGAAGGGAAAAAAAGGAATAAAAGAAGGAAAATAGAAGGAGGACGATAGATGATTGATGGATGGAAAGAAGGAGCAAACCACACCAGAGCACCCGCAAAAATGTTGATACTTTCGTTTTATTTTATTATTTTTATTTCATTTGTTTTAGTAGAGGTTTTACGACGCTCGTAACTGCATAAGGTCATATTATGAGCGCCAGAAGATCAGAGGTGTTACAAGAGAGTAACAAACATAAAAAAAGAAGAAGTGGAGATAAGGACGATAGATGTTTGATAGGAAAGAAGGAGCAAACCACACCAGAGCACCCGCCAACCACCCACTTTTAATTTCAATACAAAAAAGGTTATACAAGTGCCGATGATTCAGGGTGTTACTTTTGAAGTAACATGCACGATAAATAACAAAGAAAAGAAAAAGGAAGGTGGAGAGATAAGGATGGAGAGATGATTGATGGGAAAAAAGGAGCAATCCATACCAGAGCACCCGTTAACATGCTGATATTTTGTCTACGTTGTCATGATATGATGGACGTGGGTGTATGTTCGTTATATACTTGATTTGATGAGTTTAACAGCGGTGTCGTTTTATGTGTGTGTGTGTGTGTGTGTGTGGGTGTGTGTGTGTGTGTGTGTGTGTGTGTGTGTGTGTGTGTGCTTGTGGGTGTGTGTGTGTGCTTATGTGTGTGCTTATGTGTGTG